TTTTGAAAAGAACAGCAAAGAAAGTTTACCAATCATGTAGATCTTTTCATGACCTTCTAGGTTAGTGGTTCTCAGTGTGGCTTTATGTTTGCTATTATAATGTGGTATTTAAAAAAAAAAAACACTGAAATTCAGAATTTAAAGAAATCTGGATTCCTGAGTATCACCCCAGAGTTAGATAAATCAAAAATCATCTGAGATAAGAGCAGTTCCCCACCCTCTACGTACACACATGCACTCCATCCATCGAAGACCTCATGAGGTTCCAGTGCAGCCAGTCTAGTCGTTGGTATTTGGCATTGTAGAGCTCATCACAGTTCAGTCGATTCTTTTTGTGTGACAGAAGCACCGCATAGATCAGATACATCTAGTTCAGTGGTCCTCAGTCGTGGCTTCACATTTTAATTGCCTAAAAGATTTTTAAATCCTGATGCTGAAGCTTTTGCTGAAAGTAGATACATCAGCATCGTGGAACAGATTTCCAACCATTTCAGAATTTTAAAGCTCCCTGGATGATTGCAACACACAGCTAAGTTTGAGACTGCTGATCTGTAGATAATAATTTGTATCTTTCTGCAAGTTTTCTAATACATAATGAGGGAGTCCAATGCCCAAGACACTGCCTGGGAACTATTTAGGCCAGTCATGACTGCCCCATTTGAATGGAACACATAATTAAGGCTGACCATTTGGGACCACAATAACTTCACTTACTTTTCTTGAATGTCATGCTTATTATATTTATTAAGGGACCAGCACTGTGGTACAGTGGGTTAATCCTCCACCTGCAGTGCCAGCATTCCATATGGGCACTGGTTTGAGTCCTGGCTGCTCCACTTCTGATCCAGCGCTCTGCTATGGCCTGGAAAAGCAGTAGAAGATGGCTCAAGTCCTTGGGCCCCTGCATCCATGTGGGAGACCTGAAAGAAGCTCCTGGCTCCTGGCTTCAGATCGGCACAGCTCTGCCATTGCAGCAAATTGGGGAGTGAACCAGCGGATGGAAGACCTCTTTCTCTCCTTCTCTCTCTGTGTAACTCCGACTTCCAAATAAATGAATTATTAAAAATGCAATGGAGTTATCAATGTAAAATTTATTGAGACAAAGACACATTCACTGACTCAGAGGGGCCTGAACAACTAAGATATTCACCCAAGTATGAATGACATCAAGATTATGATGTCTGCACTACACAAGTGATTCTCAAAGTATGGTCCCTAGACCAGCAGCATTAGCATCACCTGGGAATTTACAAGAAATGTAAATACTGTGGCCCAGTCCCACACATACTGCTTTGGTCTACTTATGGTTTGTATCCCAAGTGTTCATATATTGGAAAGTTGGTCCCCAGTTGGCATTGTTGGAAGATCATGCATAATCTTTAAGAGGTGGGGCTTAGTGGGAGGTCTTCAGGTTACAGGAGGAACCACTGCAAAAGGGATATAGGTAGATCTTACGTAATCCCCAAGCTCTCATGATTAGTGAGGTTTTGTAATAGCAAGAAAGAACCTGCAATCAGTCTCTGGCTTCTGGTTTAGCAATATTCTCTCACTCTTACATGTACCATGAGGTCCTCAGTGGAGTCCAGCTCATGCTTGTATCTTATCCTTTAACCTCCAGAACTGTGAACCACATAAGCCTTTTTTCTTTATAAAATTACCCTCAGGTAGGTAGTTTTATAGTAATAGAAAATGGACTAATGTACATACTAAGACATAATCTTTCAGACTAGGCCCTGCTGAGTCCATGTATTCAGCCATTCAGGTGATCCTGAGGCTCCAATGATAGACATTGCACACATTGTCCATTTCTATCAGCTGCCCACACGAGGAGACTCATCTCCACAAGTGGCAAGAGAAATAAGGACGCACAGCTGTCTCAGAGACACAGGGAGAGGGGATGAGAAATTGGTCTATGTTCCCTTTCTCCCATTACCCATTTATATGAACAATCTATGCTGAATATCAGAGGGGATGCTGTCAAAGACAACGTATGGGAGAAACCTGGGGTCTCTGGTAATCTCTCCTTGCAGGAGATCTAGCAAACAGCCACTTCCCTACAAGTGTGACTATTCTAAGATGTTGATGAATGGCTTATCCTTTTAATCAAAATATGGAGGGTTTTAAAAGGTTTCATTAAAGATGAATAGTGCAACTATTTCCAAGGAAATGATTCTTTTATCTGAAGGGCTTTGAGATAATTGGTGTTCAGGAAACCTGGGGCAGTTTGTTTACTTTATCTGATGGAAGCCTTTCAAAATTCCACCATCCTGTAAAAGGGGCCTGCTGTTGACAGCCTTAGTGTCTCTTTTGCATGTTTATTAGAGTTGTGCATTTGACTAGAAGAAAAAATAAAAGGTCACACTTTTTTTGATTATAAGAGACACTGATTAATGTCTTTTGAGAAAACTATGATGTCCTTTACTTTACAAATATGCTTTGGGCACCTTCTAGTCTGATGGAAATTTATCTCATGGAGGAGGGTGGGGCTGGAGAAAAAAGAGATAGCAGTGTAGAGAGAGAAGAGGAAAAAGCATAGAGAAGAGAGAAAGAATGAGAAGAGTGGCAAAAATGCTACAAAAATTTACCAGAGGAATAAACAGGTGAAAAAAGGAGGGAGAAGTAGGAGCAGTAAAGTAATAGAAGTGGGGTCAGGAGGGTAGGAACAGAAGAAAGAAAACAAGTAGGGAACAGAGAAGAAGAAAAGGAGAAAACGAATACATAGGCAAAAAAATAAAAGAAAAGAAAGCAAATAATGTAGACTTTGGAGCTGGGCAATTTATTGTGAAGTGCCACTTGAATGAGACATACTGCAGAGCTGCTGGCTCCAAAGGTTAATGATGGCAGTCGTCATGAGTCCAATTTATAGCAAATGGATGAAAGGCAGCCGGACCTCAAATGGACAGACACTACAGTGACGGCAGTGAAATAGTAACATAGCAGCAGTCAGGGTTCACGGGGATGAGGGAGGTTGGATTAAGTACTTCTTCAGTTGATATCCATTTTATATCTGATGCACAACCCAATGTCAAGAAGAAATGAAATTTACTTATTGCAAGCTACCTGATTTAGTACAAAGACTTTAGATTTTCACCTGGATATGTTTTAAATTTTATTGTGTTTTGGGATTAACTTTTTTGGGGACTAACTGTTGGCCCAGATTTAGCCTTTTATACCTCCTTTCCTTGCACATCCTTGCTGCTCAGAGTCGCTGCTGCCAGTGGTCAGTGCAGCTTCTTTGCTACAGTGTTCGCTCTCTCTGAAGCCTGCAATTCGCTTTAAAATAGGCACAGGTAATAATCCTGAGTCGTCAGAGTCCTGTCTCCTCATGCATGTTTATTTGTAAGTATAATCTTAATCACATATCAAGATTCTTTTTAATCAGAATCCTGTCTGTGGTTGGTGGGCAATCATCTCTATTATAACCTCCCCTATCCTAGTCTACCACCACAAAGTCCTGGGTGTTAGAAGATGACCAAGGTTAAGGAAGTTATCCTGCATACTGCAGAGCAAAATCAATTATAAAGTCCAGGAAAAGGAGACGGTTGAAAAGCAGAAATAGGATAAAGATAGACCTTACGTAGCCTGAGAGGTTGTGGAAGGTTGTGTGCAAGATGCTTGATGAAACCCTATAAAAATATTCTTCCAAGTCAGTGAGAGTTACACATTCTCTTAATTTCTGTTGTGGACATTGAAGAAGAGGCAGAGTTTCATGTCTGTCTCCGTGAGGTTGGACTAAGACCCCAGTTACAAGTGACTATATTTGGACGTGCTGGATTTAAGAGAGATTTTTGGCCATTCTAGACTTCTACTTATGGAAATTGAGCTCTTTAGGGGTGGGTATAGGAAGGAATAAAAGCAACTTAATTGTAAACACCTATAGTTCCTTAGGTTTACAAATGCTAAGAACAAAATGAATGTTGACTTGGCATAGCATCAATATACACGTTTGAAAGCTTTCCCAATTCTGACCATTAGTTCCTCGAAATAGGAGTACATCCTCCCTGGCTTTTTAATAACCTGCAGCATCTGGCTTGAAACTGAGTTCATATGAAGTATTCAGCAAGAGTGTGTATTGATTAGACTGCTAGGTTAAACACATTGTCTCTATGAATCCTTTGGTTGATGTTTCCCCAAGGAGGTAGGGTACACACACAGAGAACCTGATGCTGCCTATAGATTCCTGTGATGTAGAGTCACTGGCAGCATCATCTGCTACAAACTATAGCACTCTTTCTTCAGCGCTAGGAATAGAGTTCCTTCATGGGTCCCAATTTGCCACTCAAGGCAAGCATAGGTAAACAGTGAAGAAACAGTTGAGGGCCGGCGCCGCGGCTCACTAGGCTAATCCTCCGCCTAGCGGCGCCGGCACACCGGGTTCTAGTCCCGGTCGGGGCGCCGGATTCTGTCCCGGTTGCCCCTCTTCCAAGCCAGCCCTCTGCTGTGGCCAGGGAGTGCAGTGGAGGATGGCCCAGGTGCATGGGAGACCAGGAAAAGCACCTGGCTCCTGGCTCCTGCCATCGGATCAGCGCGGTGTGCCGGCCGCAGCGCGCCGGCCGCGGCGGCCATTGGAGGGTGAACCAACGGCAAAGGAAGACCTTTCTCTCTGTCTCTCTCTCTCACTGTCCACTCTGCCTGTCAAAAAAAAAAAAAAAAAAAAAAAAAAAAAAAAAAAAAAAAGAAAGAAACAGTTGAACCTTACTGAAATGATGTCAATGTAGGTGAAAAACAAAAATAAAAGAAATCCTAACTAAGGATTGAATCAAGTGAACCTTTTAAAGAACTCATCCTGATGTAGTGGGGAACTACACTATACCTGCATTGGTGCGCCATGGTCAATCACAGTCCCAGTGGATATGACTCTATTCATATGTAAGACAGAGCAGTTTGAAATGCATTGTAAAAGAACTCTTGTGGAATAGTAGGCACCCCCTCCCCTTCCTCTCACATTTCAGTGTTGTTTTGAGAACTATAGGAAAGTAAGTGAAAAAGAAATTTCTTACATTCTTAAATCCTCTGTAAAGAATCTGAAGCTCTTTCTTAGTAAATTTGCTCTGGGCTTCCAGAAGCTCAAGGGCCTCGGGTCGATGTCTGACGGTGGCCATCTCCAGCTCATCTTCCACGCTGTCTGTGAAGGAAAACCAGAAAGAGTTTTACTGCCAGCAGCTGCTCACTGGTGCTTAGACACAGCAACACAGGAAAACAGCAGGCACTGCTTGCAGGCATCCATAATTTGTCCACAAAAGGAGGATACTCAGTGACACTAATGATCTTTACGTTTCCAAGACTGAATAGTATTTAGCTAAGCTACTTCTACACTCTTTGCACATTATGTTCATTAATATAGATGCTACAATTCTATTATAATAAATGTAAAACAGTATAAAACACCAACCAGCTGACTTTGATGGGCTTTGTGTGTATGTATTATGCACCAGCTATAAGAACAGAATTGCTGTTTAGTAACAATCTGCATTACCTTATGGATCATGTAACTCCCGATAGGACTGTGCTACTACGCTCCGAGGATGCTACTGAAGTCAGATATTTAACCCTGAGCAACAAATAAATGTGCAGATCAAGGTGCCGACATGGGTAAGGCAGGAAGCAGCCAGGTGAAATGGTATAAACTTCATTTTATGTGCCCACTGGACAAACGATCTCCTTCTTAGACCTATTTTGTAGTGAGGGGAATCCATGGTAATAGCAAACTCTAAATATTGAACATTGCTTTGTGAGTTATGTTTATGCTATAATTTCTCAAAGATACTCTATGCAAAAAGCATTTCATATCCATATTTGGGAAAGTGTTTTAATGTACTTTTATAACAAAATATTGGAAAATATAGGTTTTTAAAGAACTTACAAAGAATCCTTTTGTTTGCTTAACACAAACTGTTGCTTATTTTTCTGATGAAATATCATCTTTTCACCTCTCATTTATTGGGTTCTTTATTAAGCCTTTGCCCACAATGTAAACTAAAAAATGTGATCTCAAAAACAAACAAGAGTCCAAAGGTATTTGTCTGTAGAACATATTCTGCCTCATGACAACTGGTAATATATGCACATTTGTTATAGGGTCCTATAAGCACACACTTGTAAGTGTTGAGGGATATATTAGGATCTGGGTGCCTGTGTCTCAAATGCCAGTATCCTTGTTTTCAGAAACATCTAATGGAGTTCTGCTTGCCATTATCATGTCTACTCCTCAGAGTTGGAACTCAGTAGAAACAAGAACTCCAAGGTCCAGTATAAAGCCATGTCCTTCCTCTACTTCATCTCTTCTCTGACTACAGATTACCTTAGTCTTACCTCTCTGAATCTGGAAACAGTCACTTCTACCAGGACTCACAATTACTTTATCCTTGGACTAGTTGGAAATGTTGTCATTTTTGTCTAAGTCACCTTTTTGGCGCTACCTTTTGCTAACATCCACACCTACCTATTGCCTGGCCTCACTGAGGGAATTGAAGGACCAGAGCTGTTTCTTAGTAGGGAAAGATGGTCAGGTGAACTGTTCTTGGCATGTCCTAATTACTGCTCTCAAGGAGTTCACAAAATACCAATAATGGTGATGAAGCACCATACTTGACATGGCTTTACTTGTCAAGAAAAAGTAGCAAGGGATGAAAGAAAACATTCATTTCTTAGCTTTCATATTCTGATAACTTATTTGAAAACAATGGCAGAGAAAAATCTTCAGCATAGTGATGGATATATAAGAATAGAAAGAAACATGAAAATATGAGAAGGTCAAAAATTAACTTGGAGCTGAAAAGGATAAAACTGATGAGGACTTAGTGTGTGCACCTAAAATATGTAATGTGAAGTTGGCTAGAGGCAGTGGGAAAAGGCAGTTACACATTAGCAAATTGACCTCAGCCTGAACTTTGTGGGGAGAATTTTAAAAGCTCAAAATGAGGCTCTTTGAACTTTTCCTTCATTTATTTGTACAAATTGGTTGATTTTACTCAATCAGTCTGAGATAGATAGGATGAAAGAAAATGCTGATCTTTAAGATTGCTGTTGATCCAATGACTTGAATTGTGTGTATTACTGTGCTTACCAATGCAGAAATAAACGCATGCAGCAGACCAAATGTAAATAGATAATATCAAATAGATAGGCTCTGTGTTCTTAAAGATGCCTTGTGTAAGCTCTTTCTGGATCACTTATAGTACCATTTCAACCTAAAATATTGCTCTTTCTTTTTCTACTTGTTAAGATGCGTATATCTCTTATGATCCAATTCAAATATTTGTGCCACATTTCTGAAACCTCTGCAGATTGCTGTACAGAACTGTTGACTTCCTGGTCAGAGCTTCCACATCCCTCCCTCTTATATCACATGTACATAGCTGCATTAAAAGTTGTGGGAAGTTGAGTTAAAATATGAGCTTATTTTGATGTAAAATTTTGAAATCCATGCATGAATATAATATATTAGTATGATCTGTTCATATTTATCTTTTCATGTGAGTTCCCTTGAAGATACAATCAATGTCTTACATACCTGTATATTTTCTGGACCCAATTCATAGTCACACAGAGTTAATCTATGAATGAATGAACAAACAATTGATAGTGGTATTCATGTTTCTATTCATCTGAAGCCCCTTCAATCTCAGCTGCCTTTTAGGGAGATTTCTTTCCAAATGAGATTTTTCAGTTGTTGGTGGACCTTAAATGTCTGCCTTAGAGTCACTGTGTTTTCTACTCCTTGTTTCAAGAAACATAACACAGACAAAAATAGAGGAAATTTTAATCACATTTTGTGAGCAGTCTTTTGATCATAGTGTACCCTTGTCTAGACCTAATGACCTTTCCACTGGAAAGAAACAAAACAGCCCATTAACCTCTCAGCCTTTGTACCATGCGACAGTCTGAACCAGAAAACCAACATTTTTTTTCCCTGCTGTCGCAGACTAGCAGAAGCCACGTCTGAGACAAAGGGCTCTGGGGCCAGCAGGTCAGCATAATTGAACTTAGTGTGTGATAGGACGATCATCACATGCAGTATTCAAAAAGAACCATTCTTGAAGTGGCTGCCTTCAGGCTCTCGTTTTCCCAGCTGACTGATACCTTACTTCTTAATGACTCCTACCTGCTAAAGGGCTGTTTCTATTTCTAGGAGCTTGACGGGCTCTGAAAACTTGCCTCAAATCATCACCAGTCACCAGCATATAAGTTCACAAAGCAACACTACCGAACCCAATCAACTCTGATTCCTGGAGGAAAACTGTGGGGGGCACAGCATGATTCTACACAGGACTGTGAACTCAATCATCATTTAAGAACATGTGTTTGGGGTGATTCTTATACTGTGCCTAATATTTAGTGGCTTCCTGTTAAATGCCAGATCTGCTATATGTCTTTCTGAAATAATTCTTATCTCAAAATAACTACACAATGAGATATAATTGTCCATTTTTCATGTACATGGAAATCAAGCCTCATAGAAATAAAGAAATGCAAGGGCAGATGTTTGTGAAGAAAAGACAAGGACACAATTTATAACCAAATGTTTGATTCCACTGCCTATCTCCTTTCCACTTTGCTGCACTCTTTCAATACCAACAGAAATGATAGAAATGACAAGCCTTCTCCTTTCTCTGCATTGTCAAACTTATCAGGAAAATTGACCATACTTACTGGGTCCATTTCCTACCTCCTGGTCTCTCTTTAATCTACTGCAATCTGAGTTTTTGTCCTGCCGTGGACTGAACTGTGTTCCCACAAAGCATATGTTGAAGACCTAATGCCCAGTGTGAGTGTATTTGGAGCAAGGCTTTTAAGGAAGTAATTAATGTCAAATGAGACCACGAGGGTGAGGCTATAATGCCCCTCCTGTGTGAAGAGTCAGATGGGTTAATAGGTAGTCAGTGTTGTCTCAATGGAATTTGGGGTGTAGAATATTTGCTTCCCCCAAAAAAGGTTATCTTTAGCAAGAACAAACAGGCCACCTTCCTTCCTTTTCAATCTCCAAATTTACCATGAGAATGGCAAGGGAGTGGTGATCACAGTTTATTGAAAAAAATAAGTTTCCTATCCCATCCCTCTGTATGGTTTTTGTTTTCTCATGAGCAAGCCAGATAGGATAAAGACTTGTAAATCAGGTCTTTTGATGGGTTTTGTTCCCACCTAGTAACTGAATGCCAATCTTCGAAATTGAACTTAAAAACCCCAGTGCCATGGGCCCTTTGGTTTTTTTCCTCTCTGAGAAGCCCTTCCTCCTTGCTGCTCTGGCTGGAGGTCTTTGACTCTAATAAATCTTTAAATCTTTCTGCTGTCTGCTTGGAAATTCTTCTTCCATGTGAGACAAAGAACTGAGGTAATAATAATTTCTCCACCGCCATTTTCCCGTAACACAAGGATAGAGGTTAACAGAAAAACAGCTGTGTGAACACACAGCAAGAATTCGGTGCCCTTCTGGTACCTTGATGTTGGACTTGTAGGCTTCAAAAAATGTGAGAAAAGTGTCTGCTGATTCACACAACCCATCTGGTACATTTTATGGAAACCATCACAAACTAACACATCCACCTCTATTCACATGACTCCCAACACTAATAAATGATCTTGCTGTTTACAGTCTGCTTAGTTTCAGTTAATATTCACAATAGTCTTCAACAGAGGGACTGTCATTCCCATTTCATAGATGAGAAAACTGAGGATTAAGTTGCAGTAACCTCACCTTGCCCAAGTAACCCAAGGACAAAGGGCTACTTAGGGATAAGGCAAACAAGTGTTTTCTATACCCTAATATTCAAGTTTCTAACCTCTATGATCGGGTTGTTAATGCAGTCTACCATCTAGAGAAGTTCTGCTCTAAGTCTGGCTCCTATTATCTTACTCCAATACTGATCAAAAACATGTGTGAAACCTATTTTGCTTTTATTTTACAAGCAGCAAACTGAGCCTCAAAGAACATAAACCACAGGATGGAGCCGAGATTTGATTCCTGCCTTTTTGACATCAAAGATCATGTGCTTAGTCAGCTACTTTAAGAGACGGTGACTTTGTCAGCTTTTTGTTACTTTGACTACAGTAGCTGAGACGAAGGAATTAAGATGGAAGGTTGACTTTTGGCTTCCAAGTTGCGAATTCACAGTCCAAGACTGGGTG